TAGCATCTGGTGGGTTTAAACCAAGCGCCTTTAGGATTGTAGCACAGCTTCTTGTCACTAGGCCACCAGAACTCCCCTTGTGTTCAGCTTTTTGAGGAACCACCAAACTGTTTTCTACAGTAGGCGTACTAGCAGTGAATTGCAATTCAGTTTCTGCACAATCTCCCCAACATTATTTTAAATCATTACCAATCTAACACATATAAGATGGTGTCTGACTGTAGTTTTCATTTGCATCTCTGGAAGGATCTCAGGTGGTATAGTCTCGAGGGAGTAGTGCAGCTAACCCAAAGGTGGTCCCTGTCTGGCAGTTCAAATCCACTAGTGACTCCTTAAGAGGAAGATGGACAATCTCCTCCCATGCATTTACAGCTCTGAAAACACTCTAGAAGGTCAGCTAGGAGTCACTTCTAACTTGACGGCCATGAGTCTTTTCATTTAATGGCTGATGAAGGCACCCTGGTAGAAGAGTGGTTAAGCTTCTAGCTATTATCCAAAATATCAAACACTAAAGCTGCTCTGTAAGAGAAAGATGTGGCAGTCAGCCTCTGTCAAGAGTTAAGACCTTAAAAACCCTGTGGAGCAGTTCTACTTTTTATCCTACAGGATTGCTGTGAGTTGAAATTGACTCAATGATAGTGGGTTTCATTTGGTAATGAAATGAAATGAGCGTCTCTGTTCATGTGCTTGCAAGTCACTTGGATATCCTCTTTAGTCAAATGTCTGATCAGATTCTTTACTAAGCTTTTGAATAGTTGATCCTTTTTGTTTTTAACTTGTAGAAATATCTTATATAAATTGGGTATTATACTCTTACTGGATGTGTGGTTCCCAAATAGTTCTCCCAATCAGTAAGTTGTTTTTACATTTTAAATAACGTATTGAACTAAGTATATCATTTTTTGCCAGGTTCCATTAATCTGCTTTGTCATTGTTATCAGCCGTCAAGTCACTTGTGATTCATAGCAACCCTATGTACAACAGCTCTGAACCCTCCTCTATCCTGGGCAACCTTATCATCTCTGACACACCTATCCCCACTACTGCAGTCCCTTAGTCAATCCATCTCATCGAAAATTTTCCTCTCCTGTGCTGTCCCTCCACTCTCCCAAACATGATGTTCCTCTCGAAGGACCAGTCCCTCCTTGCAGCATGCCCCAAGTATGTCAGACGAAGCTTCAGAATCCTTGACTCCAAGGAGCAGCCTAGCTTCACCCTCTCTAGGACAGGCCTGTTTGTTCTCCTTGCAGTCCATGTTATATTCAACACTCTTCTCCAGCACCACAGCTCAAAAGCATCAATTCTCCTTCCATCAACCCTACTCATTGTACAGCTTTCTGATGGATAGTACATAATTGCAAAGATGATGGCCTGGATCGGATGCACCTTAGTCTCCAGACTGACATCGTTGCTCTTCAGTACTCTGGAGAGGTCTCTGACAACAGACTTTCCCAATACAATTCGTCTTTTGATTTCCTTCTTGGCTGCTGGTATTACTGTAGTTTTTTTAAGTCTTAAAATGGAACAAGATATTTTGCTATTAACCTTTAAAATCTTATGTTTTAAAACTCTAAGTTTATTTTATAATACAAATTATTGGCATTTTCTCCCACCAGCTTCTCCCGAGTCCATTGTCTATCCTATTTTCAGTGCATCTTCAGTCAATACGAAAAGGTAGGAATTGTGAATTGTTCTTTTTTTAATGTCCACAATAAATTTGAATAATTTTTACATCCTTTTCACCCTGCATCTTAAATATTAATACTTGATCAACCTTAAATAACTTAAGAAACTTTTTAAATATGTGAGTCTTCTCTCTCATTCTTGAGGGGTTTTTTTGCTTTGCCAAGGGACTATTTAGAATAAGAGTTGAAATCAGATTCTTTCATAAAAACTTATCAGGGAGCAACCTTTGTGGACTTAATAAGTAATAATGTTGTTAAGTGCCGTTGAGTCGCAGGCAACTCATAGCAACCCTATGAAGGAAAGTCCTCAGTGCTTGAGTGCCTTTCATCCACTCTCCAGGTTCATAGGTTTCCGGAGGCAAGCTATTATGGAAGTGGACGCCACTCCTCCTTCCAAGCCTGTTTTAATCGGGGAACTCCACCCCACTCTGTGTCTGCATTGGGTAACCAGCCATTAACCCATTTGACACATCAGTGTCACAGTGTTCAGCCTCACAGCAACCACAAGTGATGCAGTACGGTACCTTGTACACCAGGGCTATATGACCTAGAGGAATGTCTGAACAAAAACAATGAAAGACAGGCCCGAGGGCCGCGGATTAAAAGTCACCCATCTTTGGCTTGGTAGCATCGCTTTCTGTCCACTGGGCCAGCTGATCTCTATCTCTATGTTGATATTATTGTTGCTAAGTGCTGTCGAGTCGCAGGCGACTCATAGTGACCCTATGAAAGAGAGTCCTTCGACGCTTGGGTGCCTTTCATCCTCTCTCCAGGTACATAGGGTTTCCGGAGGCAAGCTAATAAGTAATAATAGTTGCTAAAATTATTTTACAGTGCCTAGCACATAATCTGTTGTTTTTATTGATTTTCTCTCACTTACTCCTCACAGCAGAGAACCTTGGTGGCATAGTTGATAGGAGCGTTGTGCTGCTAGCACAAAAGCAGAGCCCCTGGCGGTTGAAATCCACCTGTGAGTAGCTCTGCAGGAGAAAGATGAGCAATCCCTTCCCATGCGCTTTAACGCCTCACAAAACCTGCTGGACAGTCAGCTATGAGTTAGTTCTGACGCAGCAGCAGTGAGTGAGTGAATCCTCACAAGCCTATATTTTCAGATGTAAATTAGCCAAGGTTACTGTAAAAGCAATATGATGGGCATAGAGGAGGCAGTGTCTAGTCATCACTACCTTCAGAAGGGGAAGGAATCCCCACCAACAACGTAACGCTGGCTCCCATGAGGTCAGACATGCCCTCTACACTTCATACCTTCTATCGCCACCAACCTTTCCTCCAAAACCACTCACTTCTCTCCTGGGCTCAATGGATCATTGACTTGTTGAGCCCAGTAGAGAATTGACAATGGCCAAAAAAAACTCACAGACAATACTCATGATTATGGGGCTTATTAGGTTAAGTAACAGGTTATAATCCTGGGAACACTTGGTACAAATTCTTTGATCAGGAAAACCTCTTTTCAGCCATACTCTAAGGTAAGCAGGACTCTCTATGAACTTTGGTAGTGTGGCCTTAGCCTTTGTCCTGCTCAGGCAAGTGTTAGAACCTTCTTTTAGCTCACTAAGTACATGACACCCCTATTCTGCCAAAAAGCCTAGGCCCAGAGACACTTAGCTCTGGCTGCACTGGGTTTATCTCTGGTTCTCCATCGCCTCTACTGCTACCACTACCACTGCTGCCATGCTACGCTTTCACCTTCTCGCTAGTGTTAGTTATCTGTCTCTGGTCTGTACAGGAAATTGATGTCCAAAGTATATGTTGCAGTTTCTGATTCTTCATTGATGATAGTGGGATTCCTGTTTTTCATCTGTGAGCCAGCTCAATTTAAAACTGGCAGGATGATAAAACTGATCAATCCCCACATTAGCATTCTGTTGTCTTGTGCTGTCAGGTTGGAACCAACTCATAGCTGACCCTCCAGCAGGCTTTCAGAGGCTGTAAATTGCAGGGAGGAAATTGCCCATCTTTCTCCTGCAGAGCAGCTGGTGAATGTGTGGGTTGGCAGTCCAGCTCCTTATCCAGTAGGCCACCAGAGCTCCCTTAGATCCTGCACACCTTATTAGCAAATTCTCAGTCAGTGGGATTTTCCTTTTATCTATATTAACAAACTATCTAGTCTTCTTAATGGATAACATTCACATAGTTCTTTTCAGCCATGTGATGAAAGTAACAAAGACTGGCCGGAAAAGACATATTAAATAATTTCTGCAACCCACTTACACAGCTAATGAATGGCACAACCAAAATTAAAGTCCATGACAATACAATATAATATAGACTTGGTAGACAGCATTGCCTTCTCTGGGATGATAATGGACCTTTGGTGGCATAGTCCATAAGGAGTTGTACTGTTACCCAAAGACCACGCCTTTCTGGCAGTTCAAATTCACCAGCAGTTCCGAGGACAATCTCCTCTGTGATTTACACACTCAGAAACCCAGTGGAAGGTCAGCTATGTGTCAGTTCTGACTTGATAGCTATGAGAAAGGTATATGATAGCAGTAATAATTAATATTTAATTAGTTCTTCCAACCCCATGATAGACTGTTCTAACCAGAAGTTCTAACCAGAGAATTAAGTAACTTACAGTAGTTTAGTACTACTTTAAATCACAGCTAGATTGCTATTCAATTCAAAGCCAAGACTGGGGGTGGTGGTGGTGGTGGTGGTGGTGGCAGTGTTTTGTCATTGTTTGATGCCATGAAATTGTGGGATCCATGTAGAATGAAACACTGTCCTGTCCTGCACTCTTTACAATTGCTTTTGTGTATGAGCCCTTTGTTTGTGCACTCATTGTATCAGTCCATCTAGTTGAAGATCTTCCTCTTTTGTTATGGGTCTTCTATTTTACCAGTTCTGTGCCATCCTTATCTCAAACCATTGTTTGGCCTCCTTGCTCATGGGCTGCAGGTACTGCAGTGGGTGGCACAGTGGAGAAAAAAATTTGTCACATGCAAGTCACTAACAGTTGCGAGATGCTCTGCTTTTAGTTTCATCTAATTCTGAAAATTTTTAAAATTATTATATAAATTGGAGAAATTATAGTTGCATTGTTGATATTTTAATTGTTATAAAACAAAATATCTATGAAAGGTTCCATGAAAAACACCAATCAACTTCGTAAACTTTCAAATCACAGTAAAATACATATATATACATTTTCTTAACTTTCTGTTTCAAGATCTCTCTCTGAAGAGCAAACTTCTGTGGAATCCATCATGTCTAATAACTTGAAACAAACAAGCACAGTGAAAAGTAACAGAGATACAAATAAAGAAATAAAAGACCAGTTCATCATTGTGAGTAAATTAAAATTCTGTTTGTTCCTCCCAAACATAGAACTTAAATTCTTACATGTTTTCTAGACATTGTTAGCATGGCTTGTAGACATTGAGTTTTGTAAATGTCAGCTCTGTTAATATTTAAAGTTGGTTATTCAGTAGACTTTAATAGTGTTGAACAATTCTTGTATTTTAATAGAATGCTAATGAATGTTTTCTTTCTATATAAGGATTGTTATGTGCCATCTAGTTGCTTGCTACCATAGCAACCCTATGTACAAGTGCCCTAAACTCTGCTCTATGCTGTCCCGACCTTATTGTCTCTGACACACCTACTCTCATTACCCCAGTCACTGAATCAACCCATCTTATTGAGGGTCTTCCTCTCCTGTGCTGTCCCTCCTCCCTCCCAAACATGATGTCCCTCTCCAGGGACTGGTCCCATGTAACATGTCCAAAGTATGTCAGACAAAGCTTCAGGGTCTTTGTCTCCAAGAAGCAGCCTGGTTTCACCTTCTCCAAGACAAATCTATTTGTTCTAGCAGTCCATGGTATATTCAATACTCTTCTCCAGCACCATAGCTCAAATGCATTAGATCAACAAAATATTTAGTGAGAACAACTGTATTGTTTTTGACCTAGGCTTGGCATGTTATAGCTGTGGACCGATTTTAACCTATAATTTGTGAGATACAAATGTTTTTACTTTTTCAAAAGGTTGAAAGAGGAGGAATAAGAACATGCTATAAAGTGCTTAGGGCCCACAAAAAATGGATGTTTACTATCTCACTCTTTAAAGAAAAATATTCATATGACCTTTTATTATTGTTTAGAACCTGGTATTTTTGATACCAGTGAGCAGTATTTTTTTTTAAGAGCAGTAATTTTTAAATAGAATGGGAATTACTGGCCATAGCTTCAACCATTAGTGAATATGTTAATCACAAACTTATCTATACTTTTCCTGAACTTTTATTATCTATCTATTTTTTACCAATTCTTGGTGCAAAGGATTTTAATATTTTTAGCCATTTAACCAAAGAATATTCTATAATGGTGATGTTATTAGCCACTGTTGAATCCACTTTGACTTGTGATAACCCCTTGTGTACAGAGTAGTACTGCTCTATAATGTACTCAAAGCTGTAACCTTGTAGGGGCAGATTGCCTTCCTACACTGAGTCAGCCTTTGGATGGATTTGAACCATCAATTCTTAGCCACCTTTCCAAGCCTGATGTCCTTTCTAGCAACATGTCTGAAATATGTGAGATGAAGCTTTACCATCCTTGCCTCCAAGAAGCGCTCTGGTTCTTCAAGATATATCTTTTGACATAATACTGAGTATTACTGTTGCTGTTGAGTATAGAATTCCTAATTTTTATCCCACTTTTTTTATATAAGGCTTTTTAGGTCTTATATAAGAAATTTATCAAACAACAAATGCTGGTGAGGTTGCAGAGAAACTGGAACTGTTGGTGGGAGTGTAAAATGGTGCAACTACTATGGAAGGCTGTATGGTGCTCTCTCAAAAAGTTGCAAATAGAAATACCATTTGACCCAGCAATTCCACTAATGGGAATATAGCCTAAAGACACCATAACCGCCATCCAAACAGATATATGCACACTCATGTTTATTGTGGCTTTGTTCACAATAGCAAAGAGTTGGAAACAACCCAATTGCCCATCAACAAACAAATGGATAGAGAATCTGTGGCATATTGACACAATGGAATACTATACTGCATTGAAAAACAAGGAACTCATGAAATATTATACAAAATGGGTGACCCTGGAGGACATTATGCTGAGTGAAATATCTTAGTCACAAGACAAATACTACATAGTGCCACTGTTGTAAAACAGAACTGATAGGGGAGTTGGGGGGAAACTAAGAAAAGAGGGGATAAATTGAAACGGACAAGGGAGAGAACTGTGTAAAAGGAATATATGATTAGGTATTGGTGTGCCAAGAGTCCAGAATAAAAGCTGCATAGAAAATTGGTTTTGAGGGGGCCTGTATGACAATGAAAGAACTTTTTTTCTAAAGAAAAAATTAACTGAGGGGAAGGGGGCAGGGAGGAAAATGTACAACAATAAATCAATGGAAAATTAAGTTCTTTAAAACTTACAATAAAGTATCAATTAAAATTTTAAAAAATTTATAAAGATGTGTTATTCATCTTGGGTGTAATTGTTATAGTTTTATTCTTTATTAGAACTGTTAAGTCAAACTAAAGAATTTTGATATTACAACATCCATTTAAAGAAACGTTTGTTTCTTTTATCCATTTATTTAATATTTAAATCTCAATTCCCAGTCCACTTTATTTTAGAGGAGCTTGAGAAAGACATCCATTTAATATTTTATTTGAGCAAGCAAAAAAGAAAATGACAAAATTGGCATTTCAATTAATCATTTATGTGGCCTTGATATAGCAGTATTTGTGATGTGTTTAGATGGTCTTTTTCTTCTTCCCAATTACAGGATGCAGGTCAGAAAAATTTTGGGGCCACTATGTGTAAGTCTTGTGGCATGATCTATAGTGCTTCCAATCCCGAAGATGGAGTGCAGCATATTCAGTATCACCACAGATTTCTGGAGGGAATCAAATATACAGTAAGTCAAAAGATAGACTTTCAGTTTGTTCTAAAAGTAAAACTTTTAAAGATTGATTTCTGTTAAAATTGACAGATCTAGCAGTCAAGATGAAAGCTTCAAAGACTGGAGATTTCCTCACCCTACTTTAATTTTGATTTTTAAATACAGTTGTGGTTTTGTGTGTGTCTTTTGTTTTGGTTTTTTTAAAAAAAAAAAAGACAACACAAAACAGCCCTTTCTATCACTGTGCCTAGCTTTTGCTTCTTGAAAGGTAGGAGTCCCACCCCTTTGTGAAGCATCTTTCTAATAAGAAAAGTTCCCTGATTAAAACAAGTTTGGAAGCAGGAGTGGCATGCACTTCCACAATAGCTTGCCTCTAGAAACCCTATGTACCTGGAGAAAGGACGAAAGTTATACAGGAGGTTTCCAGTACTTTCGTTCATAGGGTTGCTATGAGTTGCCTGTGACTCAATGGCACTTAACAACAACAACATCATTAGCTTTATGATTGTACTTATTACTCAAATGTTGTTGTTTTTTTCTCCTAGTCTATGAAATGAGCCTCCTTACTGGTATCTTGTAGATACTTTATTAAAATATAGGTCCAACATGATTCTGTATGCATAAGAGTGCAAGAGATGATATGTATTGTAATTTAATATCTTCATACATGGTCAAGTCTAAGGTATAAGTAAAATTCCACCATCTGCTCCTATTACATTTAAAACAAAATCCAAACTCCTTATTGTCACCAACAAAGGCTTCATAATCTGACTTCAACTCACCTCATCTCATGGGGAATTCTAGCTTTAACTGTAAGCTTTGGCCCTTAAAGCAAATCAAGAGCTTTTATTAGGCATGGGAACTACATATATTGGGTTGATTTCTTTTAATTGATGGAAACATTACTGATTTATAGTAATCTGTGTATATTTTGTGTATTAATTTTGTATTGCAGGTATCCTTTCCCTATCTGTTTTTAGGACTTAAATTTGGCTTTGATAAGGCAATACTTTCACATGGTTCAAATTCACAAAGTGCAGATATGTATCTAATGTAAAGTATTTTCCATTCTACCCTCTTTGTCTTTCCATCGAGGCATCAGTTCCCTTCCCTGAAACTATATATGGGTACTCATTACCCTTCCAAATAAATTTATCAAGTTGTACTTAACTCTGCTTATCTTACCTCTTCCCTATGCATACCATTTTTTTTTCTGCATGCCTGTACTCTTACATGACTTTTCCTTTTTTGATTATAGATTATGTACTTGTATACCTATAAGATACCAGCTCCTTGAGAGCAGGCACTTTATTTCAGCCATCTTTTATTTACCTTCTCACCTTCCGTTGTTTTGTGCCATCAAGTCAGGACCAACCCATAGCTGACTCTCCAAAAAGTTTTCAGAAGCAGTAAGTTGTACGGAGGAGATTTCCCATCTTCTGATAGATTTGAAATGTGCCACCTTCCTTTAGCTGGACTGAATTATTTTTTTATATCAGTCTTTGCTCAGCTTTTTCTTCTATACAGCTCAAGTTATTTAATATCCTATTCTCTTTCTTTCTTTCTTCACAATTTAAGCTACTGTTTTTATTTGTTCCCCACCCCTTTGGCAGGGCTGGAAGAAAGAACGTGTAGTAGCTGAGTTTTGGGATGGAAAAATTTTGATGGTCCTGCCACATGATCCAAATTATGCTATCAGAAAGGTGCGGAACATTACCTCTTTAAACCTTGGGCTTTTTCCCCCAGATCACCAAGAGATCAACATATGCTGACATGTAAAAGTATCTTTATAACTCAAATATTGTATATCTAAGGATAACTATTATAGCATTTTATATGAAACTACTTAGAGTTGTAGGACAAATACAGCAATGTTAAGTTGGAGAGACTGAAGTCTCTGTAGTTTATTTTTTACTAACCTATTTGCTAAAAATATACTAAACTTTTTCACTGTTGAGAATGTAGTACTTTAGAGCTTCTTATGTTGGCAATGTTTCTATTTCTTAGATTGGGGTTTTAGTCACCTTGAAAGACGAATTTAAACTATAGCAGCCATTCCTACTTCTGTTTCCCAGGAGTCTGAATTTATTTATGCTGGAAATAATCTTTAAAATTGATCTTAAAGTCCTCTTGCCAAAATGATATTTACGTGGGTGTGTGTTTGTTTATTTGTACTTTTTAAAAAACAAATTCACATGTTGTTGTTTAATGTCATTAGGTAGAAGATGTCCAAGAACTTGTTGATAATGAATTGGGATTTCATCAAGTTATTTCCGGATGTCCAAACAAAACCAAGACTTTACTTTTTATATCTGATGAAAAGAAAGTAGTTGGGTGTTTAATTGCAGAGCCCATCAAACAGGTATATTTGTCCTTTAAATTATTAGCATAATTTTTGACCAAAATAGTTAAACCTCAGTTTTCATTTAAGAGAACTAGTATTAGTGACTTTTTTTCCCAGCTAAAGTACCCTTGACCACACAAATACTTGAATTTACTTCTGCTTTGTTTGATGTTTTACCTTATATAACCAAGATAATTAAGTCCATTTGTCATTTCTGTATGTTGTTGATTGCCTTTAAGTCGAGCACAACTCATAGTAACCCTATGGGCAGTGTTCTGGAATGGTGGTCCATATTCTAGATAGACTAAGTGTCATCTGCTACTTGGTTTTGAACAGAAATTTTGTAAGAAAATAGCCATGCTAAAAAAAAATATAGCATGCGTATTCATTTGCATACAGTCTCGGTGATTTTTATGCTACAGTGGAATTAAGTAGGTAAAACAGATCCCATGGCACATGAAGCCTAAAATATTTACTACGTTGCCCTTTACCAAAAATGTTTGCCAATCTCTATAGAATATAGAGATGTAGTTTATACTCTCAACAAGCTTACAAAAGCATTACTAGCTAGAAGGAATTATAGTTCAAATAAGTTATGTGTTGAGTTTAACCAGAAAAGAGATGGTTTGAACCTGCCCGCATCAGCACAAGAGAAAGCTGACTGTGCTTCTGCTGAACTTTACAGCCTCAGAAACCTCCTGCAGGACTGCCGTGGGTCACATTCGACTATGGAGATGAGTTTGGTCACCCTCTATGTTATTAACACATACATATCTTTTACATTTTAAAAAATACTTGACCTCAATAGGTCATTAAATGATCCTAACATCTGTTGTATACATTTTTTCAAATACCTATCTTTTTCCTGCCCCTAATTTCTGTCGTCTTTATTTCTCCTTCCTATGCTTTTTCCTATCTTGTATATTCATGTAAAATGCTTCAGCCCCTCTGGGAAAAGTTCTACCATTTCTTTAAAAATGAAACACGTGTTTACTATATAACCTACTACCCAGACTCCCAGGTGTTAATCAGTGAAAATTTTTGTCCTTACAAAACCCTGTACATGTATAGCCATTTTATATGTAATAGGTATAATCCAAAAACATAATAAATAAATGGTTAAGCTAGACTACTACTCAGCTGTTAAAAAAAGTAAACTATTGATGCACGAAACAACTAAGAATGACTCTTAAAGGCATTATGCTTAGTGAGAAAAGAGCCAATTTCAAATGGCTACCTCCTGTAATATTTCGATGTGTAACATTTAGAAATTACAGAAATGGAGAATAGATTAATGGTTGCTAGAGGTGATGGAGAAAGAGAGTAGGCATGACAAAGGAGCAGCATGACAGAGCTTTGTGGCAATAGTAGTTCTGTGTCCTGATTGTAACTGTGGTTACACAAATCTACACCTGGCAGAAATGACATAGAACTATATATGCACATTATACCAGTGTTAATTTTCTGGTAAGATGCTGTTCTCAAAAATGTAACTATTGGGAGAAACTAAATGAATGGTACAGAGGTCTTCTCTACTATTCTTTTAACTTCTCATGAATCATTGTTGTTGTTTGTTGTGTACCGTAGAGTCAGAACCGACCTATAACTAACTGATCCTTCGGTGGGTTTTCAGGGGCAGTTAATTACACAGGAGGAGATTGCCCATCCTTCTCCCACAGAGCTGTTGGTGGCCTTGAACTGCCTGCCTTCTGGATTGCAGCACAGCTTCTTGCCATTAGGCCACCAGAGCTTCCTTATGAATCTATAATTTTTTAAATTACTACGAATTAGAGATATACCAGTCAAATAACTATCAATGATAGGTCAAAAAGTTCTTTTAAGATTTCACGTAAACATTTTGGAATAGAGAAAATAGAAGTTTTATTTATTAAGCATCTGATTAAAAATTCTTTTTATTGAGGTCATTTTACAGTGTTATAGACTGAGCCTGAATGTGATAGCTTCTGACCACTGGTATTCTTTAAGCATTGTGTGGCTGTAAATGGACAATAATTATTTTAAAATACATTTGGTCGAATTATAAGATTAATTTTAGATATTAAGTTTTGTTTAAGGAATGCTTTTTTAAAAGAAATGTAAATTCATTTGTACTCTAAATGTTTCTGTGTCATGGTAGGCTTTTCGCGTCCTGTCTGAACCAGTTGGTCCACAAGTCCCAAGCTCTAAAGAATGTCACAGGGCTTGGCAGTGTTCAGATGTACCACAGCCTGCACTCTGTGGAATAAGCAGACTCTGGGTCTTCAGACTGAAGAGAAGAAAGCGCATTGCAAGACGACTAGTAGATACTCTCAGGTAAAAATAAAGTGGGTCTAGATCCAGGTTAGCTTTCCTGGATCCCCTCCCACCTCGTGAACCATAGAAAATGATGGTGATAAGACATAATCATCCAAATACCACCAGACGAAATCAAGCTGAGCAAGTGGTGGCACTGAAAAAAATTCTAGATATATCCAGTCTAGGATACAACATTCCAATCTTAAATGATTCTAGCCCAGTACTTTTTAAACAACCCATAATGAAGGACTAGTTAGATGCCACAGACCAACCAACAGTTTATAAAATAAAATTAATTACCTGAAGGAAAAAAGAAAACAAATTCCCCAGTTTTTTATCCTTAACAGAAAAATTATTTCACTAAATGCAGCCAATACAAAATAAAGGGAATTAAAGAAATTGTATGTTTTGACTGTGTGTAATTAGATAATGAACAGACTTCTTATAATTCATAATTTTTCTTCAGTTATGATTAACCTAAGTAATCCAGTCTACAGAATAGGAGAAAATACTTGCAAATCATTTATCTAATACCTAGCATATGTAAAGAACTCTTTTAATACAACAATAAATAGACATATACCTCATTGTAAAATAGGCAAAGGATTTGAATAAGACCGTTTTTTCCAAGGATTATATATGGTTATAAAAAAGAGCAAGGGCAACAGGGCGATGGCTATATTGGACCTCTCCTAACTCCACAAAGGGGAACTGTCCACACCAACACAATACCAGTTCCTGTCCACACCAACACAATACCAGTTCCTGTGAGGTCATATATGTCTTCTGCACTTCTGTACCTATTTCTACTAATTCCAACACTAGTCTTACTGCTCTACTGGGTCCAGAATCCGTTGGAATAGCTCACAGGACACACAGAAACATACTCATGATTTTAGGATTTACTAGGGAAGTCATAAGGCTTCAGGTTAGTAGCAGAATACAATCACTCAGTCAGGACAGCTGCTGAAATGTGCTCACAGACCCCTCAGCCTTTCAGCTTTAGGCCAGTGTTACAAAACTCTTAGTCCTGCTAATTATGGTGCCCACGGTAGTCCTCCAGCAAAGGCTCGTACCTCTGGTTCCACGGGAGAACAGTCCCAAGGTGAATTCTGTCACATCGGGTCTCTGGTTCTCGGCTGATGGTCCTGTAGACCCCAGTCAGGATGGCATAGAAACCTTTGGCCCCAAAGGATGCGTACTCTGCATTCTCTGCTCTTTTTTGGTGATGAGATTCCTAAAGCCTACTGCTGAATCTGTTCAATTTAGTGGCAAGACTAGCCATTCTTCTTGATGATAAGCTAACACATCCTATACACTTTTCCACCAAGCCACATGGTAAAGTCAATGGCTAGGAAAACCATTTTAAATAATAAACCTTTCTAACACCACAATGGTCAGTACATTGTTGTTACATGCTGTTGAGTTGCCTGTGACTCATAGTGACTCTGCAAAACAGCTCTGAACCCTGCTCTATCCTGAGCCAACCTCACCATCTCCAACACACCTACCCCCACCCCTCCAGTCACTGAGTCAATCCATCTCATCGAGTGTCTTCTCCAGCGCTGCCCCTCCACCCTCCCAAACATAATGTCTCTCTCCAAGGACTGGTCTGTCCTTGCAACATGTCCAAAATATGTCAGACAGAGCTTCAGAATCCTTGCTTCCAGGGAGCAGCCTGGTCTCACCCTCTATTACATTATTAGCATTAATAAAATTAGCTGTAAAGGAAATGCCAGTGAAAACCTCAATGCTACAGCACATCACACACACTAACCTAAAAACCACACTCATTGAGTCAACAACTCTTTGTGAAAATAAGATGGAGTAGAACTGTCCCCTTTTGTTCCCAAAGCTATATAAGCTTTAAAGCACAGACTGCCATGGCCCTCTCCCAGAGAGTGGTTGAGGGGTTTGATTGCTGCCCTCTGGGTTAGCAACTCAGTGCTTGACCCCTTCACTGCCAAGATACCAAGATCACAAGGTGATCCAGTCCTGGGCCAGGATTCCAGTCACCCACACATGCCTTCAAAAGAGCTATCAGTGACAAAAATGTAGTGTCTATAGAGTTTTCATTTAATAGTTATTTAAGTAGTTCTATTTTCTGGCTAGTTTGCACTTTCTGAGTATACCTTGCAGTTGAGAATAATATAGATGCTGGTTTAAACTGGTAATTAAGTTTTAATTTTCTGTGGTTTTTAGTATCTCCATGCATTACTTAGACATATGGTTACTAAATTGCTTTAGCCCCAGCAAAATTTTTTCCATTATCTGAGTGTTCTCATTTTTGAAATATCAAGAGATTTCTGTCTCCAACAAGCCATTCTAATCACTTTATCACTTACGAAAAATTATTTTAAGTAAGTTAAGATTCTATATTTAGATTTCAAATGTAGACTTAAAGTTAACTATTATGCTAATATTTAATTGGCAGAAGAGAGATCTTCCATGCAGTTTATAGCCTCTGAAAACCCACTGAAAGGTCAGCTGTCAGAAGCTGGTTCAATTGTTAATTGATATGTTGTTCTTTTTTTTTTTTAGGAATTGCTTCATGTTTGGCTGTTTTCTTAGCACTGATGAAATTGCATTTTCTGACCCAACACCAGATGGCAAATTATTTGCAACCAAGTACTGTAATACCCCTAATTTCCTTGTCTACAATTTCAATGGTTAAAGCCAATTTCAATTCTAAAACTCTGTGGATAAGTAATACCAGATAGTCCATAACAATATTAACAAACAACAAACCCCCACTTCTTCCCTTACAGTTTTGTTCTTTATAAATTGAGAAGCTAGGGATTTTTTTCAGAGATTATGTGGAGATTCAAACAATGGAAACATCTTCGGGCGCTATATACAAAGAGTCCTTAATTGTGAAATGTTGTAGCTGTAACTTTGCCCATTGACAAAGCAAAGTGGTTTCCTCTAGAAATGTTGTCAGTTATTTTTATGAAGAATTCTTTTGGACCACAGATATTCTCATGCATCACCACAAACAAACAAAAAATAAACCCAGATAAATAACTTTCTTGTCGAGTTTTTAAGCTCTGGAATTGTAAATATGTTCCTAACATTTGGCTATAAGAATTCAATTTGAATGTATTTAGGAAGTGCTTTGAGTTTCCATCTTGTAACAAGATAAGGAAATAGGTAAGGCAAGCTATCCATATCCTTTTGTGTAAAATAGTATCCTGTGGCTTAAGGTTTAAATCTTAAAATTATTCAAATGCACATCTGTTATTTCATTAAACTGCATAATTAGACTATTTTCATTACATTCATCATTTTTATGTAACAATTCTAATTTGCTTATTTTGTGAACCTAATGCTATTAATCAATGTCATTATCAAAATGCATGCCCAGTGAATTAGATGGTTCATTCATTTGCTTTCATTTTAATTTTTGCTGATTTAAAAATACTCCTTAATTCTTAGACATCTGGCAAATGCCCTGACAAAATGTATAGTTGACTACCAAGGTTAGTAAATATCTCAGACTACAGAGGCATATTATGTAAATAAGCCTAAATGTGTACATATTTTTCTAGTATAATTCTTAATTATTTTGAAAAAGCTTATTCAGATTTTTATTCTAATAAATCACTTACTGCTGAATGGTAGTACAACTCCTAAAATAGTTCAATTCTGTTTTCAAGTTTATAACTACAGTCCACTCATTTGCAGTCTTCTTGGCTTTCATGTTAATATGATTTCAAAATAAACAAGCCCAGGTTCTAAAGAGCATATTGAAATCTATGTTCTTAAATACTCATTTAATGGTATGTTCTATGCTGCTATTTTTCAAAATTGTTTATTTTATTTAAAAAATTTTATTAACATTATTTTGTTTATTCAATGTTTTCCTGATTAAACAATTAAAATTCTTTTTAATAGTCCCTATTCTCAATGATTTCTTTCCTAAATTCTTTGTGGTTACAAGAATGATACATGCTTTGTAAAATATTCTGAAACTAAAGAAACAGTATGCCAAGAAACTTCCTCCTAATCTGACTTTACCGTTACTTTAATATTTTTGCTCCATTTTACTTCACTTGGTATGTCTTAGACATATTGTATTTCAAAGTTTGTTTTCCTTAAATGTTGTGCTAGGTGCCATCAAGTGTGACTCATAGTGATGCTATGAACTACAGATCTGAACCCTGCCCTGTCCTATGCCATCCTGATTATTTCAGACATACTCGGGCCCATTGCAGCAGTTACTGTGTCACTCCATCTAGTTAAGGGTATTCTCTTTCACTGACCTTTCCAAGCACGATTTCTCTCTCCAAGGAATATCCTCTCCTAACAACATGCTCGAAGTGTGCGAGATGAAGCCCTGTCATTTTTGCCTCTTTGCATTTTCTCTATGGCATTTATCTATTAGGTACCATCACATGTACACTCAGAGTGTCCTTATGTAAAACAGAAGGAAACGTTACCCGGGTCTGCAGCATCCTCACAATCATTGCTATATATGAGCCCATTGTTGCAGTTACTGTCAATTCATCTTGTGGAGGGTCTTCCTTCCCCGCTTCATCCCCAACCCTCTACGTTATCAAGCATGTCCAAAGTACATGAAATGAAATCTTGCTGTCCTTGTTTCCAATGAGCATTCTAGCTATGCTGCTTTGACAGATTTGTTCATTCTTCTCAAAGTCCATGGTATGTTAGATTTTCTTTTCCAACACCATAATTCAGAGATGTGTTGCAATCTTTATGCATTAGCATTCTTGAGGTGAATAAAAGTACCATGGCTTGTGTCAGGTGCTCACCACTTCAGTCTTAATGTGATGGCTTGTGTACTGCTGAGATACTGGAAGCTATGTCACTAGTAATTTCACTTACCAGCAGGGTCACCCAGGGTGGACAGGTTTCAGCAGAGTTTAGATTTTAAGACAGCTTAGGACACAGGCCTGGCCATTCATTTTTGAGAAACAAGACCTTAGCACACGACATAACCTTACTTGCAAAAAATTTCTTGAAACATTGAGGAAGCTTAGGATTGTAGACTTCATTATGGATTAAACCTCAACATAAAATAAACACTCACAGAACTGGTCAAGTAACATTAGGGGAAGTGGAGAAAGGATTGAAGCTGTCAAGGATTTAATTAGATCCACAATCAACACCTATGGAAGCAGCAGTCAAGAAAACAGATTGCTTTGGACAAATCTTATGCCAAACAGCCAAGACTAAGATACATCTGACTCAAGCCATTTTTCAAATGCTGTAGTCTTTGATCTTCATCAATAAGTGCTACAAATACTCTTCAGTTGCAGCATGCAAGGTTGTGTTACCTGAATATCACAGGTTAAGAGTCTTCTACCCTGACTCTTCATAGTCCAGCTTCTCAGAGTTTCTGCTCAGCATACAGATTACGTAAGTATAGAGAAAGGATTTAGCCCTGGCACACACTTTCTGATTCTGGGCCATGTAACATATCATTGTTCTCCTTGAACAACTTCCTCTTGTTCTATGTATAGATTCTGCATGAGCACAAGTAAGTGTTCTGGAATTCACATTCTTTGCCCTGTTATCCACAATTTGTTACAAGACCCACACAATTGAATATTTTTGTATAGTAACTTTCTTAGAGATATGATGGGGGTATAGAGAAGACATTACTTAAGTCTTAATATGTCCACATGAAAACAATGTTCATAGAAGCATTATTCAGGATAACCAAAAATTAGAATTGAAAAATAATGTCTCTTAGCTGAGATTTTGCACTACCTAGGAATTCCCAGGAATAGGGAATGAAATAGTGTATAAAGTTCTTGCCGTCATGGAGTTTAAATTTTGTTATTAGGTGCTATCAATTTGACTACCACTCATGACCCTATAAATAACATTAAACCATGGCCCTTTTCTGTGCCACCCTCACAGTCTCAACCATGCTCAAGTCCATTGTTGAAATTACAGCATCATTTCTACCTGGTTGAGGATCTTCCTTTCTCTCACTGATCCTCTACTTTGCCTAACGTTTTTATTTCCCAAGGTGAGAGTTGCTCCACCCTGGCCATTAAGGAGAACCATGGTTGCACTGCCTCCAAAAATGGATTTATGTTTTTTGGCAGTTTGTGGTATATTCAATGCTCAAAACACTTCAAAAGACATTAATTTTTCTCCAGTCCTCCTTATTCATTGTCTAACATATGAAGCAATGGAAAACATGGCTTGGGTCAGATGTACCTTAGTCTTTAAATAGATAATCTTTATTACAGCTTCAGTGGGTGTTGATTATAGATCCAAGTAAAATTATACAGTTGACAACTTCAAACCACTTGCATGATGGTCGTTGTGAGAATTTTTATTTTCATTCTTTTTAACCCACAATGAAAGCTGTAGTTGATTTTCTGAGGTAAGTGCTATGAGGATTTCTCTAATTCTGATGCCACATTCTTTATATAGTCTAGCTTCTCAGTTATATGCTCAGCATACTTATTGAATATGGACAAAGGATACAACCATGTTGCACACTTTTCTTGATTTTAAGTCATACAGTGTTACCTTGTTCTGTTTGAAGACTTTCTTGGTCTATGTACAGATTTCACATGAGCTCAATTAAGTGCTCTGAAACTCCCATTCTTAATGTTATACATAATTTATTATGATTCACATAGTTGAGAGATTTGCAAAAGTAATTTACTAAATAAATACATAGATTTCCCTTTAGAAGTTTCCTTTTTGCCCTATTAAGGATTAAAATTGCAATCCCGGAAGTGTTAGAACCCAAACCCGTGGGATATAGGACCTTATTTTACCCTGGGTAAAGTAGCCTTGTGAAGACTATAGCCTGATCTATAGTCTTCGCAATTACGTGCTATGCATCAGAGTTGGACAGTGAATAGGGTTGATAGAGAATTGATGCCTTTGAGCTGTGGTGCTGGAGAAGAGTGTTGAATATACCATGGACTACTAGGAGAACAAACAGGTTTGTCCTGGAGAAGGTGAAGCCGGATTGCTCCTTGGAGTCAAGGATTCTGAAGCTTTGTCTGACATACTTTGGGCATGTTGCAAGGAGGGACTGGTCCTTGGAGAGGGACATCATGTTTGGTAGAGTGGAGGGGCAGCGAAGGAGAGGAAGACCTTCGATGAGATGGATCGATTCTGTGACGAGTAGTGGGAATGAGTGCGTTTGAGATGTCTAGGTTGGCACAGGATAGAACAGCGTTTAGAGCTCTTGGATATTGGGTTGCTATGAGTCGCAGACCACTTGATGGCACATGACAACAACAAAGTAGCCTTTGTTCTTTGTTCCAGAGAAATAGCCCTTAGAGAAATTGAAGAGTCTGGGACTTTAAGTTCCATCAAGATTTGTGTTGGAGAGTGGAGGCAAACGAAAAAGTACCTGAGATTGCTGATGCCAGCTAGCCTCAGGAGACATTTCTATCACACAAGTCAATAAAAGCCTAGAATAGTAAGGTTCGTGGTTAGCAGAGCACTAGTGCCCTCACTTGATAAGGCCTGTCCAGATTGGCATCCTTCTTAGACTTTGCTCATTTATCTCTTCTGATGATCCTGATTTGTATCCTTTTACCCAAACTAAGAAATCCAGAAGGTATGGTGGTTAAGTGCTTGCCTACTAAGCAAAAAGTAAGCAGTAAAAACCAAAAGATGCACAAGAGAGAGTTGACGATCTGCTTTTGTAAAGCTGCCTTGGAAACCCTATAG